TGAAATTCATATAAAAGAATATATATATATATATATATATATATATATATATATATATATATTGATCTTAAGAAGCTCAATAACTGATACTCTTTACTTGTGCTTTGTCAAGTTATTTAGTAATTAATTGGTTTATACTATAATAGGAAGTGTACAATTTTGAAACTTAAATAAGAGGGCTTTATGTATTAATTAACATCTCAAACTAATTTAGTAACAGTTTAATTTAAAATGAATAACTGGTTTAATAAAATGAAAAAAGATAGAATAAAATAGCTGCTGCTCACAAGCGGATTGTGGAGATGAATTTATAGTGTGATTTTATATACTTCAAAACTGAGGAAAGAATTTAAGTTAATGCTAGAATGCCCACCCATCGAAAAGTTGATCATAAGCCAGCGAAATGGGCCTAACTAATTGAAAAACATCTTGATCAAATTTATTTATTTCAAATGGCAGGCGTTTTGATACTTATCATTAGCTCTTTAGTTGACTTCGGGCTTCACAGAAAGGAGGAGGAACATCAAAGTCACAAAAGTCGAGTGGAGGGGAAGATTTAAAAAAGACAGACAGATAAAAAGGTAGAGAAAAAGGTAAGGTGAGCATTGTAGAAGTAGTCGAAAATGACATACAGTGGGGTGATGGTAGTTTGAAGTAAGAAGTCAACTGCCGAAAAATAGATTGTTTTTGCCGTATGAGCATACTTAGCCCAGGGTGCACCACATGGAAGTGAGTCTATCGCACATCCCAACTTTGATAAAATTGGTAACTTGAACAGAAAAATAAAAAAATCATGCATGCATATTAAATAAAAGCTCATGAAAAAGTTCCAAGTGTTATAATTTGGTACGATGTCTTAATCCTTGGCGTTAAATTCTCAATTCTTGAATAAGCAAGATTGGGATAATTTTGATTCGGAAATACTATGCGACCTTACCTCTGAATAGAGCTCTTATTTGTAAATCACAGCAAGTTTTGATCTAAGGAAAAAAACAAGCATAATTAATAGGAATATTGAAATAGTAAATTTTGCGGGCTTAAGGGTCACTTCCAATGATGTCAGTTAATTAAATACTACCCATTACTAATTTTACCTTGCTAGTTCATATCACTTCACATTCCGCTAATTTTTAAATTCTTCTTCAAACCCTGATTTATTAATTGATTTATTGGGTTAATCTGTGGGACATATTATCGCTGTGTGCGTCATCGTATGTCTGCATGTCTGCTCGCCAGGATTGGGAGGTGCGGTCGTACAACTCTGTGTGCAGCGACCGTATAAACAGTGACCAGTCATTAACCTCTGTTTAACCTAATCCCCCATCCTGATCATGAGTAGCTCTCCGTGTGTACACACTTGATCCGTAATATACGTCCCCCTGCGTGTGCACTTTATCCACAATATACTCTGTGTGTACACACTTGATCCGCAATATACGTCCTGAATAAGCGGGTACACTTGATCCGCAATATACGTCCTGAATAAACGTGACTTGATCCGCAAGATACGTCCTGAATAAACGTGCTCCGTGCACACTTTTCTGATCATTACGTGACTGAATATACGTGTTCCGAATTATCGTCTGTTTCCTTTATAGCTGGGCTATAGCTTAGCTAGTTTCGGTCTGTTTCCTTTATAGCTGGGCTATAGCTTAGCTGGTTCGTAATATGCTCACTGAATAGACGTGCTCCGTGCTACACGTCTGATACCCGTACTGAAAAAACGTGCTCCGTGCTACACGTCTGAATCCGTACTGAATAAGCGTGCTCCGTGCTACACGTCTGTTTTCCCGTATCGAATAAACGTATTCCTTGCTACACGTCTGTTTTCCGCTACTGAATAAATGTTCCGTGCTACACGTCTGTATCCTCTGTAGAATAAACGTGCTCCGTGCTAAACATCTGTTTCCTTTATATGCAATATACGTACCGAATAAACGCATTTCGTGCTACACGTCAGTTTCCCTTATAGCTGGGCTATGGCTTAGCTTGTTCTGGGAGTCTAGCTAGATGTTGGAGAATTCTCCGTGCTACTCGTCTGTTTCCTTTATAGCTGGGCTATGGTTTAGCTGGTTCTGGGAGTCTAGCTAGATGTAGGAGAATCTCCCTGGTTCTGGGAGTCTAGCTAGACGTTGGAGAATCTGCCGTTCTGGGAGTCTAGCTAGATGTAGGAGAATCTGCCACAGATATAAACGCGCTCCGTGCTACACGTCTGTTTTCTTTATAGCTGAGCTATAGCTTAGCTGTTCTCTAGCTAGAGGTTGGAGAATCTGCCATAGAGATTTCTGATTCCTAGCTAGATGTTGGAGAATCTGCCATAGAAATTTCTGAGCCGGTAGCTAGATGTTTGAGAATCTGCCATGGAGATTTCTGAGTCGGTCTAGATGTAGGAGAATCTGCCAAAGAGATTTCTGAGTCAGATGTTTGAGAATCTGCCATAGAGATTTCTGAGTCAGTCAGCAGCAATCCGCTACAGATCTCATTAAATAAATAATAAGTACAGTACAACAAGAATTGAAACAATTGACGCTAAATGACATACAGTGGGGTGATGGTAGTTTGAAGTCAGAAGTCAACTACCGGTTAATAGATTTTTTTGCCGTATGAGTATACGTTGCCCAGGGTGTACCATGTGGAGGTAAGTCTATCGCACACCCCATTACCAGGAATATAGTATATGGTAATTTGATTCCTAATAGAATAGATAGAAATTCATAATCTTGATATATCGTTGATAAGATGCCGAATCGAATATATTATAAACAAAAATGTTACCTTTGTCGCCCAGGAAATAGATTTTTAGGCCACTTTCCTTTCGCGCTCAGATAAATTACTGGTCATTTCGTAATGTTAGTTACGCATAAATGAAACACTTTTTAGCCAAATTGATGAAATAAAATCACATCCCAATCAATTTTGAGAAGCCATGGAGCCAAAGTGCTCACTTTAAGCACAACAGTGATTGTAAACAGTGGTAATAAGTGATGGGGACAAATACAAATTAAAACATAAATTGACCTTTCAATAAGCATCTCAAAAAAGTGGCACAACCTGTATGTTATGCTGGGAAAAACTATTTGCTACCAAAGACACATTTAGTGATTGGCGGTGAACCTACACTGGCCTTAAAGCGCTTATAATCATCTCGGTTTGTTCTTCCAGGACCTCTCATTTCAAGATCGTCATTGGCATGAAGGCTGCTTCGTTTGTATGGAATGCAAAACCTCACTAGCCGACAGACCATTCGCTACGAAAGACGATGCAATCTTCTGTCCCGACTGCTTTGACGAGAAATTCGCGGCACGCTGCGATGGGTGTGGAAAGACTTTCAAGGCCGCAATGCGCAAATATGAGTACAAGGGGGGTGCATGGCATGAGGAGTGCTTCCTCTGTGCTGAATGCAAACAGCCTATTGGCGCCAAGAGTTTTATCCCTCGGGGCAACGACATTATTTGCGTGCAGTGCTATGAAGACAAATTCGCCCAGAAGTGCGCCAAGTGCCAAGGGGTAAGTAAAATCGTGAGGTAATAAAATTTTCTCTCCCACCCCAGCCCCCGCAACCCTCATCTTCCTCTCTTGCCTTGAGATGTCGTCAGTTGAAATAAATTTTGGGATTTAAGCGTGACCGCTTAGCCATACTTAGCACCTTTTTGGGAAAATAATTCTAAGCGGTGGTTATGCAACAGTTTAGGTGTTTCCGAATAAAACACCTTGGGTATTGTGCTTGACAAATTCTGCCTATTTTAGCTGTTTCATAAGGCAAGGCTACGAGGGAGAGATATGGCTTTACCACGATAGTGATTAAGCAAATGCTTCAAGGAGTTGATTGGCCACCTACAATTTGATAGGCGCTTGGTAAGGCTTATCAGTTATCAAGTGCGTAAGATGCTTGTATATGGTCATAAAATCGATAACAGATAAGCGGGCAAAGCCCCTAATTGTGCTGATGAAACTCTCAGCATGGAAATAGGGGATCAATTTATTATTAAATTGGATAGATCAATATTCGAATGCGATGGTGCCTTGGATCAAACCCTAACAGTTCTTTACGAATTTCCACTAGATGAGGACCAATGCAAAAATTAAAATTGTTCCCAAAATTAACTAATTTATACAAGCTGAAACGAGTACACAGAGATCAGAAAAACTAATGTTTATTACAAATGCAGTACAATGTCGCAAATCTCAGTCATTAATTACAATTAAGGCTTTGCTACGTCGTAGCAACAATTGATGACTGATTGGAAGTGAGATTTCTGTACACATATCGCACTTTCCCGAATGTTCCATCGCGTACGAAGTACATTTGGTAGCGGTACCCACTCCACAGCGCAAATTTCACCCTGAAGTTCATTTCATTTACTCAAATATTTACTTAAACTTTCCGATTTACCAAAATTGATATAAATTTAAAATTATAAGTGAACATAAATATTGACTAAATTAGCGTGTTTAGTCTTTCCCAACACATTTCCAGGAGCAGACTATTATTCTTAAAATGCGAAAGAAGGCATTCTTTTTATATTTGCCTGAGAGCTTTTAGACAGTGTAATTTGACTTATTTTAAATGAATTGCATTTTGTCGAAGCGATATATAAAAGCGAGCGTTGTCATTGCAGAGGAGAAAAAGTTGGGTAGATTAAGATCTTTTAAATTCCATAATATTTATTTATTTATGTCAAATGGCAGGCGTCTTGATGGTTATCATTAGCCCTTTAGTTGACTTCAGGCTTCACAGAGGGGAAGAAACATCAAATTGAAAATGTCGATAGGGGGGGGGGGGGAACAGAAGAGTGTTTCAAAGATGTAAGAGACAAACACAAAGGTAGAACAACGGTGAGGTGGGTACTGTGAAAATATTCGAATATGGCATAGAGTGAAGTGATGATAGTTTGAAGTGAGAAGTCAACTGCCAGTTAATAGACTTTTTTGCCGTATGAATATACGTTACCCAGGGTGCACCACGTGGAGGTAAGTCTATCGCGCACCCCAATTCCATAATATAGTGCACATTCTGTCAGTGCTCTTGTTATTTCTAGAATTTAAATAATCCGCTTTTAACCCTTTAACCCCCTCTTCCAAATTAGCCTACATTGGTGCTAGACTCGTAACAGAAAGCGAGGTTTTGCCGTTTGAACCATGTTCAATACGTGTCAATAGCCTTCGCCTGATACACCACCAAAACTCATCATGTCAGTGGCATCAGTCTGCCGTGAGACGTGCGTGAGTGCGGTTGGGTGTGTTTTTTAAAAATATAATTTTGGGCGTTAAAGGGTTGAGCTTCTGGCCACTTTTATTAAAAGCTAATATTAATAATAACAATATCATTTCAATAAATATTTAAGTATATATTTCTTCCTCCATTCAAGACAGTTTAGGATATTGCGTCGGTATTGAAATTTATGAAGCACGTTTGCAATCTAGACTACTCATTGAGGCATTGGTTATCTAAACTTAGTCAAAAGTGGCAGTGGACTTTAACTCGATGAACAATTCTCCTTAACATCTTCAGTATCATATTTAGATAGAACTTTAGTTATATGTGGACTCTGTGCAAGAAATCGTCTAGCTTTCAGACTAGCCATCAATATAGCCTTAAGATGACCAAGCTGGAACACTAATAGGAACTCGCTTCGAACCCCTTTCGAAATTTATTATAAATTCTGCTCAGAAATTAAAAATTCCGCTATCTCAAGTCTCAATCAAGACTTCTCTCATGCGATTATCATTATCATACAGACTAATTATGCCTAACGTGAAAAGAAGCTTTCGTAAGTTTTAAATGAGGTAGTCTGCTTTCAAATACTCAGGTTACTGATGCTAATATTACACGACTATAAGTCTATATTGCATTAGGTAATAAACAAGGGCGGAATCACATACAAGGGCCAACCATGGCACAAAGAATGTTTCCTCTGCGCGAACTGCAACAACCAACTGGCGGGTCAGAAATTCACCTCGAAGGATGAGAAAATCTACTGCGCTGATTGCTATTCAGAACTCTTTGCTAAACGCTGCTCTGCTTGCTCAAAACCCATTTCTGGTAAGTGCTCCAATCCCCATTTGCGTCTCAGTTGCCAAGTTGCTTGTATGACTTTTTTGTCTAACAAATTCGGAAATTGAATGTTTTAAATTGGAATGAATTTCCTCAAAGCTGCCAATAATATTCCAGACGTGTGACATCTCTTAAGCTTTCCCAAGGGTAGATAAAAAATAATCAGTTGAAAACAGCTGTTTAAAAGATGGTATGATAATTTTTTTTAAGAAATGGATACAAGTTGTTCCACTTTCTATTCGACTTGTTCACAACAGTGACAAGTTAAAATAATAACCCTATTGACGAAGACAAAACAAGGCCACATTTTTGTCAACTTTTGCGATCGAGTGGAGATGAAGAGGAATAAATTTCTTTAAATATATTTTTAAATGTAGATTAAAAGTGATCTCACTGTAGCTGTTTCCAGGTTATATATAAATATAAAAATATATATATATATATATATATATCAAATGACAGGCGTTTTGATGGTTATCATTAGCCCTTTAGTTGATTTCAGGCCTTACAGAGGGGAAGGAACATCAAAGTGAGAACAATTCGAGAGGGGGAGCAGAAGAGAGATCCAAAGATGTAAAAGAGACAGACAAAAGGTAGAGAAAAGTTGAGATGAGTACTGTGAAAGTAGACGAATATGACATACAGTGGGGTGATGTTAGTTTGGAGTGAGAAGTCAACTGCCGATAAATAGACTTTTTTGCTACATGAGTATACGTTGCCCAGGGTGCACCAAGCGGAGGTA